GCAACCCTCGGCGCTGCTCCCGCGCCTCGCTCAGCCAGTGAGCGGGAACCGGTCCGTATGTGGGATCCGAACCCTCGGGCGGGAGCGCCGCCGCGCTTCCCAAGCGGTGCGCCATCCAGTGCGCCACCGGGCCGGCCCTCAACACAGCACTTTCTGCAGCAGCATGTTGGTGGGAATGAGCTGGAGACTGAACGACACGTGGAAGGAGAGAGACTTCTTACCTACCCAGCCATATTGTGATATCTGCTACATCCCCCTTTAGAACATGTCCAGCCCCAATGGGCCAAACCGTGGCCAGAGGCCCACTCTGCCAAAAGCCTGGGCTTGTGCCATAAAGCTCCATGGCTCACTGGAAAGTTTTGAGATCAGATCCCCCCTCCAGGAAGCCTTCTCCAAGGTTCCCAATCTTTTCCATTCTCCCAAACCTTCATCTGCATCCTGTAAAATCTGAGGTTATAACTTCCTTCCATTTCCCAAGAACCTAACAAGAGGCCTGAAACACATCTGGTGATTAATAAATGTGTTGCAAACAATACCTTTCTAATGTGTGTTTCTCCCTTATGTGTATGTCTTTCTATAAGATTCAAGGTGAGAGGCTGGGCCTAATGACTTAATACCATGGTATCCTAAAGATCATGAGGTTCACTAACCTCCAGACAACACTGGGATCAGGGCAGAAAATAAGCACATACTCTATGAACCAAGGAAGAGATCTGGCAGCAATCTGCAAAGGACTTTCCATCCATCACATGTCAGTTCCCTTCTCCTGCATAGAAACCCAATGAGGGAGAACCCACAAATTCCTCTGATTTCCTACAGTCGTGCCCAAGGTCATCTCTACTGTACCAGAAACCAAGAAATAGAAGAATATGGAATTGGGAACAAGGAGGCAAAAGAGAGAAAAAGAGAGAGCTCTACTTTTTACTTTCATGGACAACAAACATACCTTCTATAAGACATCCCTGGGTTACGTGAAAAGCCACAGAGTCTCAGGAGGCTGGATGGGTCACTGCTCAGATCCAGCAAGTCTTCTTGTGATTTTTGAAGCAAATAACATAAAAGCAGTAAATGTTGTACAAGCAGATGGTCACACACTCCCAGAACCACCTGACTAATTGTAGAGAGCCAAGATATTCACTTCTGACGGAAGTGACCAACGCTTTGCTTCCGGCGGAAACTAATACCTGATACTTCTGAGGACCAAAGAGGAAATATTAAAACTGAAAGCCCTTGGCTACAGTCAACAATTGTACACTGTTATCAACAGAGGGAAATAACTTCCTTCCTGACTCCCACTGGGCCAGTCATGCCTGGAGCAGAAGGTGTGAGTATCTAATCAAACAAAGCAAGAGCCAAGTCAGCTAGACTGTAGTTTCTGTGGGTCTCTCAAGCACTGATCTTCCTAGGTCTCCAGACCTATCTCCCTCCACCTGCTACTGCCATGGGCAAAAACTAATGTGAAATAATAAGAATACACAATTCTACTTCACCTTTAGCCATCATTATTAAGCAAGGTTCCAGATCTAGCTTCTTTCCAAGACAGAGGACAAGGTAGTGCCCATCCAATCTTGGGGGGATGGGGGTGGAGAGTTGGGAGGAAGGACCTATCATGTATGGAGCACACGTTATAGTTTATAAAACAGGTTAGCATCTATCAACATACTTGCTTTAAACAAACATGAGAGGTAGGACGGGCAATAATTATTGTTACCAATTCTCAAATCCAGAAAATGAGAGGGCAGAAGGATGTTGTTTTTCTAGGTGTGCACATTTAATACTTGGCAGGCCGTCTGTCAGCCCATCCCACAATATTCACTGTCATTTTATGTACCCACACACTTCTTAAGCCATACTGGTTCCAAAAGCCTCTTTCTGTCTAGTCATTTGTTTTATTCTCCTAAAACCATGCAGTTTGGCCTCATCTGTGCTAGAATTCCCATAGCTCCGCAACAGAGTCAGCCAGTACCTGATAGAACACCCTCAGGGAAATGGACAGCCTCAGATGCATTCTTTCTATCCATGAAAATGCATGGTGCAACTTCTATGTGCCAGAGACCCCACAAGGCTGTGGAGACACCCGCATGAATAAGAGATCCCGTCCCTCTTCCTACTGGGTTTTACATTCTCAAAGACCATGATCAGGTGTGTCCCAGCATCTGCTTTCTCCTTCCTTTTGCAATTCTTCGTGGGACATCATTTCTGGTCCTCCCAGCACCTCATGAAGAGTCCAGATGGTTAATGTCCTTTACAGAAGGTGAGGCAAGAACTAAAACCCAGCACTCTAGGGTGGCTCTTACAGGGGTTATGCAGGTGTGCAAGAGGTCCATGGTTGCCCACATGGCTTCTAGTCCTCTCTCCCCCTCCTACCAGCACCCAGATATTCCTTTGAGGGACCACCTCTTCTCCACTGTGTGGCTGCCATGAGGTTTGGGTGGGACTGTCTCCAAATTCAGTTCTAGGAGAGCCCCAGTTCATACGTGCCAACTAGCAGAGTGTCATCCTCTTGGCCTCAGTGACTGCATCAGGAATGCGCAATAGCCCAAACCTATGAGAATATGGCAAACAAGGCTCTCTTTCCTCCACATGGGAAGGAGGATGCCTATAGCATGAGTTGTAGTGGACAGTCATCTCATGACCGCAAGGTAAAACATCTGAGGATAAACCAACACACAAAAGTGGGCACAGCAAGGAGTGTGGCAGAGAAACAGAGCTGCAGTCCTGCTCAAACTGGGCCCAAAGCCCACCTTACCTCGGGATGTGCCCATCCCAGGTATTCTAGGTTTTCAGGATCACCCACCCACTTTGTTGCAGACACTGTTCTCCATTTCATGCAGTCTAAGGCTGCAACAGCGTTTAAAAGACAAAAGCCTCTGTTGGCTCATAATTACCTTACGAACAACAAAACCTCCAAGTCTCTTCCAGCTTGCTTCTGGTAAGGCAATCTCTCCCATTCTGTCATCACACATTTGATTTCTTTTTTGTAATTTAAGTGCAGGGCTTCATATTCGTCACAACTGAATTTTAAACACTGAAAAATCTCAAGAGGTAAAGCAGGAAAAAATTCCCATTTGATGCTTAAACTGTATACGAGAGGAAAAATACTCAAGATCATGCTTGAAATCTTAACAAACTAAAATATTTGAGTCAAAGCAGTGGCTTCCAGCTCTTTGTGAGATGCAGATCAATAGTTGCACAGAAGTCAGCTGTACTAAGATACATTGACTAAGAAGAGTCATAGCAATGAAACACAACCATAAACTCAGTCACGCTTTCAAATGAAGTTAGGTTTTAACAATCATAGCAGCATCTGCTCTGTTTTGAAAAACTATACCACAATCATGGCAAGGCATATTATTTACTCAGGATAAAGCCAATGCCTGGAGCACATATGGATTGGCCCTCAGCACAGAGATGGTAAATCTAGAATCCTAAGCAGAAGCTTTACCCAGAGTTCCCCAGGATCTGCCTCAGATCTCACCATGGCCCAGGGTCCCGCACACCATTGATTCTTTTCACCATCCCCATTTTTTTAGAACATGACGTTCTATTCTACGCACTAAATACAGAAGTGCCCCAAAACACAAGGGAAGGCCCACCTTACCTGGTCACCATTTTCCTGTCAAAGCATGCAACAGGATTCACATTCAGGTCCCAAAGGAGCTCTAGCAGACTCTTAGAACAAAGACTCACACCCTTTGCCTAAGTAAATTTAGCCTCTCCTACCTCAGAGGGTTGTTGTGAAAATAAAGTAAGATTGCAAAAGAAGAAGCACCTTGCACAGGGTAAACAAGAGACACTCAATAATACTGTTTTCTTTCCTGACAAGTGTCCATAACATTGTTCACTGTCATTTTCATCTTGGTCTTTCAATTTCAAGAACACTCCTCTCCATGCCAAAGGAGAAAGAAGGAAACAACACAGTTATTGGCAATCCAAAATCACTGCTACTCCAAATTTTCTTCCAGTTTCTCTGCATGCCACCTTCTAAGAGCTGAGCCCTGTCATTTTATATTATTATATCTTGCTCATTGCCAAAAAAATCAACTCAAGAAAACAAGAAGGTTCGGTTCTTCTCTAGTTCTTCATCCATCCTAGTTACTGGTGTTCATGCTTTAAATGGAAACCACTATTTTTTAATACTCATTAAAACATTCACATTGATTTTAAAAAGGAAAAGTCTTCTTTTTGGAGTAGGACTCACCAATTGAAGAAAAATATCTTCCCGCTGATGACTGCCCAGTAGAACAGTGAAAAAAAGCAGTATACTGGGAATCAGGTGACTGGATTCCGCCTTCTGTCCTGCCTCTGAGCCTCAAGGTTCCCACCTGTGGAAATGGGAGGAAGTTATGCTTATGAACTTCTACGGTTTTACCAGCTTCAGAACTTCCCAGGTTTATGAAGTCTCTGATCCAGGCAATACTGGGAATGATGCCAAGCTTGAAACCCACAACTTCAGTAGCCTACCTCTATACCTCCTAAACCCCCAGTCAGTTCCTGGTACTTTTATTTCACTAAATTATCTCAGAATGATGGGAAAAAGAATGCTAGTACCTCAGTGTTCGTATCTCAGCTCTCCCAGGAAAACAGCATCATCTTAATAATAGAGGCAAAAAAGATCAATTGGTTAGATATGTTTTAGGAAAGAAAAAAATTAACAGATAAATCTGAACTACACCAAATAAAAAGAGAAAAGAAATATGAGTTTGGGGACAGATTTCCAGCCATGGGACCTAGTGACCCTTCTGAACTCTAGTTCCCTTGCCTGAAAAACATGAGCCAGTGAGCAACAGAGAGCTGAGCAATCTTGACACTTCCTCGTAAGTCCTCATTACAAGTTTTATTTCATTAAGAACTATTACTATTTGGCTGAAGATTATACAATATATATTTCAACAGACAAGTATTCCTGGACAGTGGGCTGTTATAAACTTGTCCTCCGAGTATATAGGAGAAATCCACACACCAGAAACACTACCACACCCATTTTCACTGTTGTTATTTTAAATATATATAACCCATCATACAATTGTTTCATGTATATGAGGGTACTTGAAAAAGTTTGTGGAAGAATAGAATTAAAGGATAAAACAAATCTTTCAATGAACTTTTGAAGTACCCTTGTATTAAGTCATTCAGTGTTCAAATGCCCATTCAAACTCAAAGCTTGGAGGGACCTTAAAAATGGCCCAATGGATAGGATGAGAAACTGGGGGCCAGGATAGGGAGGAGACCATTCTAGGAGCCCACCATTAGTGGCAGGCAATCCAGAGCTCGCTCCACTGGATCCAGTTACCATCCACTTTGACAGAGGATACCAAGACTCACTGGGCAGAGGACTTGCCATCAGTCACACAATCAGCTTTGGAACAAAACCAGGTCCTACACACCCATGCCTTTGAACACCTGCTTCAAATCTTTCTTGGTATATTCCAACAACAGAAAGAAATTGAGCAGAGAAAATGGAGTATAATCAAATTGAGCCCAACAAAGCAATGAGTTTCCACAGTACTAGGAGTCTTGAAGGACTTCGGAATTCTCAAAGCCATATCCACTAAAATGAGAGAGAGGCATAAGTTCAAACTTGCTGAGGACAGATTGTTCAGAGGCCAATGTTGGACCTGTAGACAGTGTGATCATACAGAAAACAAAAAGACAGCTACCCACTCTCAAGCCCCATGAAACCAAAGCTTCTCCTTGCAGAGAGAGATATAAATCAGAACAGTTTCTAGAACAGTAGCAAAGGGCATCTGACTTCCCAGATTTCTAAACTTCACTGATAGGAAAAGCTCTGCACCCTTGGCCCTGGGGGAGTCTCACTCCTAGACTCCTCCAGCTTCCCTCCATGTACCAATAAAAGTGGTCTCCGTTTTCCATAGTCAACTTCTCTTTCAAGACTTTTTTTCTTCTTCTTCATAAAGAGAACAAGCAGCTTTACTAAAGAACCGCTTTGAAATGATTGAAGTTCCCATGCAAACAAACCATTAGCAGAGTTCAAATGCAATTTAAATTACCAGTTGTTAAAGTGCTCCTCAATTTCGTGGTAAGTTTCCAAGGAGAATTACATACTATATACTATTTAATTGGTTGTTTTCTATTTTTTAACATCCATTTATCCCCCCACCCACCCTTATATTTCAGTAGTGCCTATAAAAGCTTCCCTTTAAAAAATTATACATTGTTGAATAGATTAAATCTAAAGATTGAAAAGTATCAGAGAAACAGCTGCAGGATTACACAGCTCAGCAGAAATTGATGGTTTTGACACCACAAAACAAGCAGAATTTTAAAATCTTAGGAATCACTAGTAGTCCCCTCATTCTTTACAGATGAAGACACTGAGGCCCTAAAAGGGAAATAATAGATTGGCCTGAAGTCCTCTCCCTGGCCAGTGACAGATTAGAGAGAACCTAGATCACCCATTCCCAGCCGCCTGCCACTTCTTCTACTTGGTTGCCCATAAAGGACAGAAAAAGGTGGTGTAACATAGTCAATGAATTCGATTTTCCACCTGTATTTTTTTAAAAGAAAATATGAAGCCCTCTTCCAATCTATTTACTGCTGACCTCAGAGCGGAGATGAGCAATGGCAAACCTCTCTCCAAAAGAGAAGAAAAGAAGTAAAGGCTGATGAATGAATACTGTCAAAGGAGCTCAAAATGATACATTTCATGGGCAGATTCTTGGCAGGAAAACTCAAGACACATCTAGATTCATTAAACAAGTTACAGAACATCAGAGCCACAAATTTCCACTGCTTTATCGGGCCCTGAGTTAGTGGCTGTCGCTGGAGGGAGAGGATAAAGAATCCACAAAGTAAAAGTGGGTCTTGTCACATCTGTAAATGGAAATGATTTCTAGAAGCCATCATGAGTACAGTTTGAAGTTCAAGGCTTTGATACTGGACTTCTGTCAATGACTTTAACTTCTCCCTAAGCTCAACCTTCCCTATCTGCAAAATGGGGCTGACACCACCTACCCAACAGGGTGTTACATAATCATTCCCTAGGATTCCATATCCAACATGTACAGCACAGAGCCTGCATACAATATGCAGTAATTCACGTTCAGCCCCTTCCGAGGTGTCTATAATTTCTCAAAGCCTATGGTTCTGTGGTTCTAATTTATTTGGACTAAGTAAACGGAGTCTTATTAGCCATGTCTGTTCCCTAAGTTTGTTAGATGCTGTATGTCCCCTCACTGTAAATTCATTTATTTTATCATTCAAAAAATAAAATAAAACACATGCCTGAAAACTTACACATCTAAATATTTTCTTTCAAAAGCAACTTTCTGGAACAGCTATTTTAAAATGGCCTCTAAATTCAGATTTTATAAACACACACTAAAAAATCCCAATTTCATGTCCAATATCTTATTTAAACTCTCCTTCAACCTATGAGAAAGATTTCCCAATTGTACACTGAGGAAACTGAGGATCAAGGAGGTTAGGCACCTGCCCAACATTTTGGGACTAGTAAGTGGTAAAGCCAGGATTTGATCCGAATCTTCAAAAATCAAGCTCTTTGACACAGGTTTTATTAATTTGGAGTAACAATTATAATATGTACAGTTATTCCGCTAAGGGCAGAAACACACCTTAAAAACAAATCCTGTTGTTTTCACATTTCAAGGAGCTTTGGGATAAAAACAATGCCTACATTTTCGAACTAAAAAAAGCATACGTTCATATTAGAAGCAGGTAAATCCTTCCTGTGTTCCACCTTGCTATTATTCTTAAATGAAATAGAAAGCTCAGAGAACTGGCACTAAGCAGACATCTACTGGTATGTGAGAAACAGGCCTGAGAAAGGCCAGCAATGAGCTGACATCAGGCCAATTCAGAAACAGAATTCAAATGGCTGGGCTCATGATCAAACAAATTATGGGTAACCCGAGAATGGCTAAACTCTGGCGCTACTGTTAGCTGACCCGATGTCACATGTCCTGCCTTCAGAAGTGTACAAAAGAGAAGTTTGCTATCACCTCCTGTCCTCGATAAGGCAGTGTGTCCGACTAGTAGGGGAAGGTGCAGAGTCCGACATGCCGTGAGCTCACAGCCTCACTGCGGACACACTGGAACACACAAGATGGCATGAAACACGTGCAAAAGCACATGCAAACAACCACATGCAATGTCCTTTCGAGGGTCTGGAAGTTCTCTGCAGATGACATGACTTCTAAACTAAGCCTGGATGCCCAAGAGGATTTCCATGTATGAGGAGGAGGAAAATAGGTGCAGGGAACACAATGTGCAGAGGTCTTGAGGAGGATGAGTTCAGGGTGTTCTCAGGGAAAGTGAGTAATCTGGTGAGGCCAGCCACAGAGGACATGGAGTGGTGCAGTGACACGTGAGGCCAGAAGGCCGTGCTGCCTCCAGAAGAACATGGAGGACATTGTGTCCCAGGGTAACGTACTTGGACCTTGAAACTCATAGGTGTCACATTTTGAGAAATGATGCAAGAGAAAATTAAATGGCAGGGCTATCCCTTTAAGAAATGAATCCCCTTCTGTAGTCTGCTTCCAAGTATAGTAAGGGTGGGAGTGTCTTAAGGACAGCTTCCTCCAAAGGGACTACTTTTCTGTGGCCCCATCCACAGAGAAGTCAGAAAAGATGGCTCTCAGAGTTGCCTGTAACCCACATCTCTGCTGACTCTTTCCTCTAAGACTGGAACTCTAACTCACAGAAGAGACCCATGGAAGAACCAAGAAAGAAATCAAGTCTCATGTTCCAAGCAGGACTACCTCTCTGCCTTCAGGGAACTGCTAGCACCACCCAACTCGGGACGAGCTGGATAGGCCTCCGGCTCCTGCTTTGAGAGACAGAAAAAGTCTACAGCCTGTCTCCAGCCCATCTTCTGATTCCACCCAAAGCTCCACATCACAGAGCTCCCAGACAGGCCCAGCACCATGTGACTGGTGTCATCAACTAGTAATGAGCCTACACTGATGTCAACAATTAGGTTGTATGGAAGCTTCCTTTTCCTTAAAGGAGACTTTATAGCAGTTTCCATATGTCCAAGTCCTCAAGAATTTGTGATACCCTCCTTGCCCTCAAAGAAGCTTCCCATTTAGGAGGAGACAAAAGACAAAAAGGGAGAAGGCACATGTCACAGAAGCAGAACAGATACCAGTGCAGATCCCTATAACACATTATGACAGGGGGTGATCATTTATACCATTTGACAAATGGGGAAACTCAGGCTCAAGCAGGTTAACGGACAGCTAGGAAGTATCCCAGCCAGGATTCAAATCCAGATCCCATGC